ACATATTGGCTTTAAAGTAGTTCTAAACTAGTTCATTTGACAGCTTTGTAAATACACACTCTCACACATACTTATATTCTAGTTTATGCGCATAAGTGTAATGTGACATAACATCTACAATAAGTAATTACAAATTTAACAATCATGTTATTTTGACTTTAATTTCCGGTTGTCACTCACATTGATAAGTTTTTCCGAGCTTTCTTCTTTCTTCTACTAATATCTATATCATAGCGCTGGCGTGGGGCTTACTCCAACACTGATATGAACTAATAGAGTGGTCTAAAAAGTTATACATTACTATGTAGATATATGTAAATGTACCAATAATATGCATGTATGTAAGTATGTATTGTATATTGCAATCAGTTATCAGCATGTAGGGAACTTTTAAATCAACATTGTTGCCGCATAACGATGCAGTCGAATTGTTCTTGTGACGTGCAATTTATTTGAACAAACAAAATGGGCATTCAATGTCAAGCAAGCAGGAAGAAAAGTTTTCGTTTATAAAGTAATAATACTTTTTTCTTAAATAAAAAAAATGAATACAATATTTAAAAGGGTGTTTCCGTAGACATATAGTTTTCAAAAATTAAGTGACTGCTAAGAGGCGCTTTTTTCGACCACTTTTTTCAATAACTGGTACCGTATTTTAGCAACAATGCGGCGAATATTCTTTTCAATCTTCTCGAGCTGCGTAAACAAGCGACTTCACACAAAATAGTCCAGTGGTTTTGAGACGCACGATCTTGGCCACGACGCGAGATAATGTTCTCAACAAAACTTTTATTCAATAAATTGATTGCTTCGTTGGTTGTATGGCTTTTAGCGCCGTTTTGTTGGAACCAAAGTTCAACCACGTCAACATCCTCCAATTCAGGTAGGAAAAAGTGGTTAATCATGGCTCTATCGCATTCCCAATTGACTGCAACATTATATCCGGCTTAATTTTTTAAAAATAATGGATTATTGATAGGAATCAAACACTGACTTTTTGTGAATAAAACGGCGTCTCAATAATGGCTTGTGAATTATCATCCCTCCAAATGCAACAATGTATTAACGTACCCATTCAATCAAAGGTGATGGTCCTTCGTCTTCAATTGTTGGACTAGTTGAATTTTGTATGACCACTAGCCAAGATGCTTCGGCAAAATCTGCCATAAGTATATATGGGATGGACTCATTGGAGTCTTCTTCAATACCCTGCTCCACAGCAGCAATAGTGTCTTCGGTGCGGTCTGTACGGCGTCTCTGAGGGTGCGCATTATCCACTAAGTAAAAGATGTGTGAAGTCGATCAATGATTGAATATTGTACTAAGCGTGCAATACGTCGCGCGAATTGAACCATTATTTTCGTACAAAATTCACACGATTTACAAACGTTGTTCTGGATTTACAAAAGTTGTTCTGTAGTAGGTCTGTTCATTATGAAATGGCAAACCGAAATGAGTAGACATCAAAGTGATCCCATCGGTAACACCACTCGCCAAAGAAAAACCTTTTTTCAATTACAGTTTAGATGATTGATTATGGCGCAATGGTTAGGGCACTTGCCCGTTAGGTCAGTTGCTCCATCGCTGTCATAAGAACTTGGATGAGATGTGGTAGTCTCCAAAACAGCTCTCACCTCTGACATTAATAGTACACATTTTATTTTAAATTGCATTAATTTTATTCATTTTTGCCGACGGGTTTTTCCCATATCATAACTCTGTTTCCAAAGGAAGAGAAATATTCTCTGATCAGAATAAGATTACAAAAGTCTGAAGTTGCTCTCATCTTGACTTAACTTGACTGCTGTTAGTTTAGCTGTTTTTTTATCTAATTTAATAAAATCACTTTTGCTATCTCTCTCTTTCTCTCTCATTCAAAACTAACTCTGAAGCACGCGATAATAATTTTTAAGAATTAATTGAATACTGAATATGTATTATCGGAACGGTCATTTCTTAAAATAATGTTTCCAAAAAAAAAATAAAATCAAAGTTAATATCATCAACCCAATATTATGGACAATAAATTTACCATTAATAATCACGTATAAAGTTCACAAGAAAAAAATTGCGAAACCGTTAAAATTATAACAACAAAATACCTCAAAAATTACTTTATCAATTATTATCTGACCGATATATAGAATTATGCCGCTACTGTATTTGATACGTGTTAAATCGTATAAGAAGCAATAAATTGTTACATTTTTTCGAACCAAGATAATCGCACTTTCAAACATACATACATACATGTATAAGTAAACGCACGAAATGAATTCATTCATATATTTTTTTTTACAAAAATAATATTCTTGAGTTAACTATTTTTTAATTTATTTATTTTTTATTTATTAAAATTATTTTTGTTTTTTTAAATTTAATTTGCTCCAATTTTGAAGAATAAAGCAAGTATTCATAGTCACTACTTTTTATTTAATTAACTCATAGAGATAAGTTATCGCAAGAAAAAAAATTATCGAATTTAATAAATATTTCTTTCGTGATTAAAGTTTATATATTTCCTTACTAATATACATATAATACATAATTATGTATAAATAATAGCTGAACTAAGCCAGCAAACATTGATTTGCAGATTCGTATACAAAATCAATGCACGAGATATCGATTAGCTAAAGAAATATGGGGGAAAATTTAAAAAGCAAATTATTCAAAATATATATATATATATATATTATATATAAGTCTGTTAGATAATAAATTAAAATTATTTTGTAGGCTAGATAAGACGTTTCTTACTCTGAAGAGCCTTTTTGGAGAACTTTTATTGAAAATTTTTTAGCTAAAAAGGCCTTGAATTGTCTACGGATAAGACTACTTTGCGTGAATTTTATTTACTACTAGATATCCTCAAACTATCTATCTATTCAGTAATAATTTTTGAAAAGGGTGAACCACGTCAGCAGTGCTGCCAAACGGTAAAAAGCCGAAAATGTTTAAACTAGTAATACATTCCAGTCTGAATTAAAAAAAATACATTTTAAAACCCAATAAAAAAGAGAATACAAAACAGTCTCTAGGATGTGTCATTTAAAGTTAGAAGACTTTATACTCTTAGATGAGAAACAAAATTTGTAAAGACGGATTGGCTCTGAAAAACAGGAATCAGATGCATTTATACCAAGAAAGGCGAGTAAAAACGAAAAATTACTGGATCATAAAATATCAAATTAAGGCGTAACATTCATTCAGTGGCTCATAAGAGTTTTATGCGAGTTCAATTGCAGGGGTTTCGTGCATTATGAGTTCTTGCCAGAAGGTCGCACGTTTAAGTTTAATGAAACTTGTGGGAAGCAATCTACCAGAAACGCTCTTTTTTGTGGAAGAACACTTATGGACTTTTGCCTCATGATAAGGCCTTATCTCTCAAGCAACTCAGTAGTGGTGCCTAAACCACCGTACTTCTCAGACCAGACCTCCTCTGACATTTTTTGTTCTCAAAATTACGACGCTAAGATACGATAGCGCAGATAAAGACTGTATCGAAAGAGGGCCTGGTCACAAAAAAATACTTCTTTAAGTGCTTTGAGGATTGAGGATTGGAAAGGAAATATTCATGAATAAATAAGCCTTATTTTCAGAATATGCGATGCTTGCGCTCGAAACCTGGCTTGATTAATATAAAAAGTATTGAAAAGTATCGCCCCTCCGTAGGAAATGTCAATTCAATGTCAATGAAATAAAACGCTCCCCATAAAAATCCATTAGTCGTTCCGAAACAGCTTAGAAAAAGCTGTAGGTCCCTCTATTTTTCTTAAAAGCATCAAGTCGCTCACCAAAATTTGGAGCCACAAATTTCTTCTATTGCTTAATACAATCGCAGAAATACAGATGGTGCAGTATCTAATTTGACTAGTGCCAACAAAGGCTGTCGCGGCTTCTGAAAGCTCTCAGCCAAATAAAATACGGAAACGCTGCAAAATACACAAAGCTTTACCGAAAAGCTTTGTACAAACGTGTGAGTCGATGGAAATCCCAACGCTTACATTTTGTGAAAGGCATAAAGTTGTATGGAGCGCTGTTGAATATCTTGATAGGATATTAAAACATCGCCTTGGCAACATGCATTGATGTTTTAACCAAAAGTTCGGTCAGCAAAAGTCGGACTCAATAATCCGATATGACAATTATTCAAAACCTATTACCAAAACTGACACTAAAGCGCAAGAAGTTGATTGTTTCACAGGCCTTCCTTGGATTCCACAATCTTTTGGGGTTTTTAAAAAGAAATGCTGTGTGAACCGGGGAAACTTTGGTTAACTAATCGTTCCAAACAAAAAGACGAGATGAACTCCATCAGGTCTGAAATATATAAAACTCTTGCCAAGAGCACATCAGTTTGAATACAAACTGTTACTGATGGCTGTGGTAGATACAAAATACTGAAAAACGGAAAAAGACTGAGAACCTAAAAAAAAAAAATGTAATCAATGTGCAAATTATGATACATCAGATAGTAAGACGGTTACTTAGAAACACAAAATTTGGGGATTTCATTAAAGGATGTCGGAGTGACTAAAGCTTCACACAAACTTTCTAAAAATTGTTTAGTTGACATAATAATTATAACATTATTCCTAACTTTAAATACTTTGAAACATTTTGATGAGTGAGATATTTTTCTTTTAAGACGAGCCCAGCTTTGTCAAAACTCCCGCCCAACCGATCAAAGGACGCGGCTGAAGAATAAATGAAAAATCATAAACGAAAATTAAGTGGTCAACAATCTCCTAAGCCAGCGGATGCAGTTAATTTTTTCTGTCAGTATAAGCGTGACGCTTTTTAACTGCTGAAGCGATTTTCGGTCGAGCTCCTCCACGATTGATGATGATTGATAAGCGTCTTGTTGCTTTATCCAACAAAACGGAGTGAGCTATAGTTTGTTCTAAGCCACCGCCGAATATCCAATGGATATTTATGAATGAGCTTTTGATTTAGAAATTTTCAGAAACACCCTCCGAGGGCTTAACAATTCTTACCGAGGTGCGACTGCAATTAGAAAAAAATATTTTTTTTAATATTGATTCGGTCTGCTCACAATTCAAACTCATTACCCTCTGTCTGCTCAGCATAGATGACAAAAAATTCTACACTCGCTAGCTTAATTTTCCTAATATTAGGCCAAAAATGCAATTAGCAACCCCCGCATTGGTATTGATGATTGAACTTACGCCCAAAATGCCACGTATAAGTACGATCGGCTACGTCAACGAATCACGATTCCGTATCTTACACTTCACTTTAATGTTTTTAACACGGTTTTATCATATTTTAACGCTTTTTATTTTAGTCATGTCGTTGCCACTTAAGTATGAAAATAACTTAAGCCAAACGAACAAACTTTTGTTTAAACACTTTCTGTGACAGTTTCTATTCACTTGGCTCAAGTAATTCGCAACTTAGGCGTAGACACGTTACTAAAGGTGAAATTTACTTAACAAAATCGATAAAGAAATCTTTACAGTTCTCTAGCAAAAATCAATCAGACTTTAAACTTGACCACTTGTTGAACCTTCGCGGGCCACTCCAGACTCACTGACTGCACTCAATACCGCAGCACACTGATCGTGGCGTTGTGGCGACGAACGCGGGTGGATATTTCTTATCACCGTTCGACTATATTCACCTGTCGCGTATCAAATCGAAACTGAATGCTTAAAAATTTTGGTGTACTTTAAAATGACACATTGAAAATGTGGCCAACACGACATAAAAACACATAGATATATTTATATATCAAGTGTATGGATGTACATATATACTCATATAAACATATATATCGGAGCATATCTATTGGCACGGGTTAATAGTAGCGCGGCTCAGGGTGTATTGGCTGAAAATTTTCAAATTAATATGAAATATTGCAGTATTGAGTGACAAGTGGAGCATTTTTTTTTTTTGTTTGGTTTTGTCTTATTGTTTTTTTTATTTATTTTATTTTTTTTCAACAGAGATACAAGCTGCTTGCCTAGGTGCTGTTACCGCTTACAAAACATGCGTTTGTAATTTACCATATCTCTTCCAACTCTCACGTCAAGCAGTCACAGTCGAAATGAGGAAAAGGGAGTAGAAAAAAACAGTCAAGTTCTCATTGCAGGCACGGGCGCTAGTGGAGATAGTGATAAAGAATGCCTTATATACTGGGGTTTCAGATGCAACTATGTACATATGTACATACATACCTACATATGATATACACGCTTATAAATAAACTCATATGCCACGAATTCGTTATATCTACGTACGTACGGATGTTTGTCCCCATGTTAAATTGTATGTTTGTATTGTGTTCATTTTTTCTTCATTTTTTTTTTAAATTTGAAATTGAGGTGAGTGTCGAAGAGGTAATATTTCAACTTGTCAATTGTCTCGAAATTTGTTATCAGTAAAATACTAGCGCATACAAGCGCATATTCACTCTTCTGGGTACATACACACATGCAATGGAAACACTTGTAGTATGGTTGTAAGTATACGTTATCTGTCAAAGTGAAACACAGCGCCCTCTCGACACGTTGGAAATCGTAGGTAAATGAAACACTCGAAGCTGTGAATGCGTGTCAGTACGTCCAACACATCGAGTCGAACAACCTGTTGAACCATTATTGGCTACACTCTTCGGCACGGATGGCTCTAGCAGACAGCAAAAGCGGGGAAAACCCAATAAGAATTGTGGGGGTTGCTCATTTAGCTTTTGTTCTAACAATGGAAGGTTGAATTATTATTTTTACAAACAGTTCATATTAACATTACAAAGCGGGGACTAAAGAAAGGTACATATATGGGACCTATTTCCTGGAGCCATTACGCCATTACGCCATATCGGACAGAATAATCTAATATGCTCTTTCATTAGTTGGCGCAACAGGTTCAAATTTATTTGGTTAGTATATTGGAAACAAAAGCGATATGGTAATTGCGGTTAGCTAAGGTTAAGGGGTTTGCTGGACATCAGCTAGCTTATGCCACCTTTGTTCCAAAAGGATCCTAATAGGCCCATCCGCTAATCAAACCGGTGTGTCAAGTTTGCAAAGCTGAGCAACTTATTCTCTATGCATCCACTATTCCGCTCAAATCTATAAAAACTGCCGGTCATAAAGAGACTTCAACCCACTCTCCAAAGTTGCAGAGTATACTCAAAGAAAGTACCTTCAGTTTTTCCGGTTTTTTTCTTCTCTCAACATTTTCTGTAGAATTCGTTTTATTGATTGTTCAGTCTCGTACATGCTTGTCCTATAGAAAATGTCATATATTAAGACCCATAATTTTAGATAATTCACTTTATTAAGCGCGCGTAACCTTCTTTTACCCCATGCTGATCACATTATCCTGGCCATATTGCAATAATTGAGACGCTTCCATGAATAATTCTCTTACGGTGAGCTTACAAGGGGAGAACGGCATACCCAGACTGTTCAACGATGGCGAAAGAAAGTGAAGCACTTCCTTGAAAGCTTGTCTGCCATCTCATTATTGGACAGGTGACTATGGCAATGCTTTCCTTACAATTTTTTTTAGTTTTACTGGCTATATTCATAGATACAGCGATGTACCAAATTGGATTAGATTTCAATATGTAGTTGCTTCTAGGTGAAAATCCTTTTCAGACATGGAAAAGAACTTACTAGGGTGGTGGGAGGACAACATTTCAATACACACGATGGTTCCAATGATCTGAAAATCCCCTTCTCTTTTCGTTTTCCAAACTCAGCAATCATCTTCCGTGCGGAAGTGTTACGCTTAGAATACGAAAGTATACAAAAAGCAACCATTTACCCGAATAGTCAGGCGACACTACTGGTTTTACCGCTATTGTAGGAAAGGTTAAGCTCATTGGCAGGTCAACTAGAGATCATCATAATTTGGGCCATAAGATCATTTTTGGTAACGAAAAAACTGACGAGTTGGTTAAATCGAGTTCATCCCAAGACGAATCAGAAGCGGAGTTAAGTTAAGTTTAAATAGTTCGCCAATAGTATATTTTGACGCACAGCTAGAGTAAAGAGTTATTAGCTCATTAGGGGCATGCATATAAAATGCGAGTGCACTTTACCGACGTTATAATTGCGACTTAGATAAGTATAAGGAAACAGTTATGTGCAGGACACCTCATGCATCCAACCAATACCAACCTTGACCATCTATGGTGTACGTTCACCCGGAGAAACCATCTGTCTTGATTGTTCTTTGGTCTCTGGTGTAGTTAACCAATTGGTTCAACAGCACATCCTGCCTCCCTATGTACGTACTCAGTCTGGCTAAATACCCTAACTCTTTGTCCAGTATGATTTATCAACACAAAGGAATGCATTTTGAACGAATTAACCCTTTCTCTTGACGGTAAAAATTCTTCAAAAAAGATCTGCCCAACAACCAGATGCGAACGCAGAGAAGGAGCGAGCTTGGGGATTATTATGAAGGGCTGTAACAGAAGAAAGACTATCGCTTTTCATGTAATAAACATTCTCATTCTCTCATTAAAAGACGGTGCGAAAATATCCTTGAGCCCATAATACACAACAACCGCTTCCAAACTGTTTTCATAAAAAGGATTGACAGGTTAGAAAAACTGTGCTTTTTGGTTTAACAGTTGAAAGGATCGAACTAAGTATTTAACATTGACTTATTACTCGATAGATAATTTAAGAAAGTTGATAGATTATTTTCTCTACTTTACTGTCCTTTAAAATTAAAATGAAATATTGAGTTGTTCGATTGGTGGATTTCGCCTCCTTTTTAGTTCTTTCGAAAAATTGCTTGGCTATTTTTTTGCTTTTCTAGTCCCAAAGAAAGGAGTCGCAAGTTATTAAATCACTTCATCTCGGTGGCCAATTGCGATCGCCTCTTCGAGAGATAAAACTTCCGGTTAACTTTTCCCTTAAAATATCGATAATATCGTTTCAATTCCGGTCATAAAAAATTTGTAAACATCTTTCGATAGCGCAATTCATTCCCCTTAACTGTTGCTCCAGCCTCATTTTCTGAAAAATTAACCTCCAATGACCCGCCGGACCATAAAAGGCACCAAACAATTACGCATTGAGGATGGATATGCTTTGCAACAATAATTCACTCAGGCATTTTTATGGATTTCAAGAACCCAATCAACAATGACTCAACATTGTTGATGATAGGCCGGATTGAGTTGCTGTGTTTGTCGACCTTTATAAGCCTTAAGGCACAAATCTTTATAAGAAATACGGTGTTTTGACGTTCGTGGTATGTCCAATTCCAAAAAAAAACTATGAGGAATGGACAAACCTGGATTACCTTCAACACGTTGAACTACAGTAGCAATAATCTTAGTTGTTCTTAAGCGACGTGCACATGTTTTATTCTTCTTATCACTAACTTGTTCTAGCAGTCCCATTTTTCCATCAATTTCTGAATTGCTTAACGATGACCAAAACATGTTTTACTATTTCTATAGTGAATTTTAATAACCGCAATGCATTGTTGAAGCGTGTATCATTTTTATTATTGGCGCAGTTTTTACTTGTCAGATATCAAAAAGTTATAGCTTGAAAAGTGATATTTACTGGAGTTCTAGGCTATTCACAATAACACCTCTTATTGGAAAACCCTTTAATATTTAGATCAACAGATCATCCATTTATGTTCTTCACATTTGATTTTCTCTATTCTTTTATTCCTTAAAAGAAATTAAACGTAAAAGAATAAAACTTTTATATCTATATGAAGAATAAACTCTTACCAAAAGGAAATACATTTCTTTGTTGCTCAGATTACTAACCAGGCTAAACACGGCAAACATAATTGTTTTGTTCCTCACGAACTTAGCTTATTATTTTTTAATTTTCACTCTAGCGAAAATTTTATTCATGTTTAAGTGTTCAAAGCAAAAAACTTATTTGGAACCCACATACTGAAAGAAGAACAACAGTCTTTGCAATAACTTAGTATGCCACCGAGCAGCTGGTCTTTAGTGAAGAGTCAATTAATTGCTACAACAAATGTCTGACCAATTGGTTGGTCTTTTCTCTTCTTTTTTGCATCCACGAGTATTTTCCGAGTAGAAATTTACCTACATAAGACATATCTATTGTGTCCTAATGTACTCGTGGTATCACTAAGTCTATGGCAAGTTTGATTTGACCGTAAGATCGAAGCGTTTAACCAAAGAATTTTCAAATGAAAAA